AGAAAGATTTATTTTAATAACCTTGTCCAAATGTTGTTAAATCCTTGGTGTATAATAAATATGCAGAATAGTGTGTAATACCATACCTTTGGGTATTTTTAAAAGGACTGGATACACATCTTTGGTTAGATGTGCATGGTCTCTTTCTAGTAGGATGTGTAAGAAATTGGACCTGGAAGCTGGAGGGAAACCAGCTGTCTAAGGGGAGGGCACATGGAGGGTAGAAGTGTTTTTCACTGTTCAGTCACTTGTGCATTTTAAATGTCGTATCAGCTGCATCAATCACCTGTTTAGAATTTTTAAAAATTTTAATGTTAGCATAGAGTGCTTTAAAAAGTATCTAGATCTTACTATCTGTATTCTCTAGTATGTAGAACTGTTTTAAAAAATGTGAAAGTCTGGGGCGAGGGAAATGCACTGGACTATGGTGAGGGCATATGATTTGGTGATGGGAAACCCAAGGGGATTGCAGCTGAGATGGAAAAAGGCACCAAAATATGTAAAAATAAATTTATTATAAAATTTTTAAAAATATATGAAAATCTTTCTTCATTTGAAGCTTTATAGAGAACTTCATTGTATGAAGCAGATTAAAGAGGCGATGCTCTGAGTGAAACAGGGGTAGGGATTAACCTGATCTTCCTCTGGAGTTCCCTTTAGGGAACCTAATAGATGGCAGAATATACGAAATAATTGGAGAAACCTTGATAGAGAATAAGCATGAGATTTATAATAGATTACCCTGGCTTTAAGTCCTAGCTCCACTGCTTGTTGCCATGACATTGGGAAAGGTGCTTATCCTCTTGAGCTTCATCTGTAAAACAGCGGTTATATCCTGTTCTAAATTGCTGCCTGACTCAGTATGATTTTTAAAATGGGACTTAGTAAAACTAGTTTTTCACCCCCATCCCCTTCCTACCCACACAGTACATGTATCTGGCAACACAACATTAAGGCAACATACACTAATGTTAGACGTGAAACTCTAGATTCTACTGGTATGTGTTTACTTTTTTCACAACAATCAAGGATTTTGAGCTTTCCTTAGTTCTCTTGGAGGTTGAAATAGCAGTTGCCCATGGGGCTGCCTAGTGCCTGGAAAGGGGGCACAAGACACGTTTCTAAGTATGGATAATGTTAAACTTCTCATATAGGTGCTAACTGCATGGGTATGTTCACTCAGTGAAAATTTACCATGCGATGTTAATGATTTGTGCACGCTTCTATACTTTCATAGAAAATAGACTTTGAAGAAAAAATCACAGACATTTCCACTGTGAAGTGCCTTTTCTCCTTGAGATTGCTTCCATGATTTGAAATTGTTGATATGTTACCCCTGACAGACAGTTCTCTTCGGGTTATACATCTCTATAACTATAATGCAAATGCCTTACTTTTAGCTTTTTTGAAAGAGATTGGGCTTTTAAAAGGGACAGATACAGTACTCCGATCATACCTAAATAAATTTGTTGGGGAAAAAACTGAAGTCATTTGTTTGATAGCAACTCACACACATTCGGTGTGTTGCTATCAACTTGATTAGCCTCTTAACCTGAAATTGTAATAGAGCACTTGTTGGCTCTTAATTAAACTGTGAGGTGGTGGTACTAAAAGGGATTTTCTTTATTGTTATTGAGAACATGCTTTCATATTTAGTTAGGCTATGAAACATTAGCAAATTTTTTTTTCTTTAATGTCAGAGGATGGGTAAATAACTACCGCTTACTGTACTGTAGAAGCTCTAGGACAGTTCAGCAAATCTTAGAATTTTATGTGGAAACACTTTGGAAATAAAAACAGGCAAAAGGCTTTATGTGGTTTTTGTATTTGTGTTTTTATGCTTTGGGAGCCTTCAACTCTGTGTGGTCCCAGCCTCTTATTTATTTTAAATTCCCACAGACTTCAGTTTTCTATTCACTTGACTACCAACATTCATTTTTTGTAAGGACAAATTAAAACAAAAATCTGTCTATGCTGGGCTTTCCTGAGGCACATTTTGGGTAAAGACTGTAAAGGAGAATAAACTGGGAATGTGAACTTAGAGTTAGAAAGAGAATTGGAAAAAAGAGAGAATTGGAGAAGGATAAATGAGTCTCCCCTCACTTAACCCATACTAAAAGGAAGAATGTCTTAGTTTGTTCTCTAGCATAGGAGCTGTAGACTTTATTAAAATTTATTTTGTTTTAAACTTGTTTTAGTTTGTAAAAAAATATTGCAGGACACAGATCACTTTTTTAACTTTTGAAATTTTCACACATATTGGGAGGTGTTGAATAGCTTCGTTGCAACAATAGCATGAGAACTATACTACAAGGTTGCTTTACACATGATTCTTAAATTCTTCTAGCAAGTATGTATCTTCATTTTTGTGGAACTGAGGCTAAAAGAACAAGAAACTTGTTCAAAATCATACCACTTAAATGGTAAAATCATCCAACTCCAGAAATGTAGATTATTTCCACCAACTCTTTTATTTTGAAATTTACTTTTCCATTTAAAGTTGTCCTTAAGTTTTATGTTTTGTCCTTAAGTTTTATGCATAGTAAAGTGTCTGGATTAAATTATTTATAAACATTAAACAGATTTGCATTCTGAACAGACTTGTGAGTACCTGCTTTACATTAAAACTTTATTCTGAAATAACTTGATAAAAGGTTAGAATCAAGTGGATTGACAAAACTAGAAGCTACAAACTTTGTGCTTTTAGAATAATTGAGTTTAGAACACTTCCTTGTCATCATCTAGTTTAGCTTAGTAGGCATGAAAGAATTCCTTCTAAAACATCAGCCTGTGTTAGAAAGCTGTCACGTTAGAAGGCACTGCTTCGCAGGGCAGCTCATCAAGCTGTTGAAACGCAATCCTGTGGAAACTATTTCACGGAACCTAAATCTGTTTCCATATTTGTCTCCTTCAGATGACAACCCAGGCATCTTCCCTTTTAGCATTAAATTTCCTCCCAGCTCTCTCAGCCTTCCCTCTTCTGCTCACAGTTACATTACCAGACTTACCATCCTCTTATTTCTCCTGTTACTGACTCTCCTTCACATTGTCTTCCCTCCCGTCTTCCATGTTCCTACTTCACACTGTAAATAGAAACCAGAAAATAAGTGGCGCAAAACTTGGCTTCACTTCTCTCCATGCTCTACCAAAAATATATTTTAATCAAACCCATGGCCAGTAGGGAGAAGTCCAGGTAACTGCTCTCTGCCACTTATTTGGAGTGACCCTGTTATTATGAAAATAACTTGAAAATTATTCTTACCCCAAGACAAAAGCTAAAATAGCCTTTTCACAAAGCATTGGTAGGTTAGTAGGGATTATAAATATATAATTAGGATTGATTTTTTTTTCAATTTTTTTTCTTCATTGCTCAGCCCCTTTCTAACCTTCATTGACTGAAACCTGATGCTTATATCACCATCTCTGATTTGCAGAATTGATTTGTCCTTACACTATATTCAGCATTGATTCTGTATGGAGCATAAATCGTTTCTCTGAGGCATATGTATTACATAGTGCTCTCATTCAGCAGTCACACAGTGTAACTTAACCTGACCAGTTAGTTGACAGGAATGCGCTAAAATGTAATCAGTGTTTAGAGTGCTAATTAAAATAGTTAAAATCTGCTAAAGAGATAAATAAAAATGTAGAAGGAAGACTTGTTTTTACTCATTTAGTTTGAAAGTGAGTAAGGCGGTGTCCCTTTTGTCTAAACAACATAACCCTGGAGAAATTAAGTACATTGCTGGAGCTTCTGACTAAACTTGATCTTACATAAGTGTGACTTGCCGAGATAGTTATTTGAAGGTCAAGATTGCCTTTCCTCTAACCACTGCTTTAGATCTTAGGAATTCAGTGTTTCAATTTTAGGATGTTTGTACCTAAAAATGAACAGACATTAGAGAATCAGTTGGGGAAACTAATACACAATTTCATTTAACTAAAACTTGCAGTGGTAGTCGCGCTTAGTTCTGGTTGCTGGTATCTAACAGGTGGCAAAAAAACAGATCTAGATATAAGGGGATGGTGGCTTAGGCGGGGGGGGGGGGGGGGGTGTGTGGAGGTAGTCATTTTATCTGATAAAGGAAACTATTGCTAAATGAGCCAGCGTCTAGACACAAACAGATGTTTGTGCTTGACTGATACTTGTAGTCACTAAAGAAAAATCATGAAAAAATAAATTGGCATTTGTGAAGAGACTGAAAGTAAATGCTGAATGTGAACTAAAGGGATACTATGTTGTGTAAAACCTTACATTAGCAGTGTCAAGTACAATGTGTTAGTTGTTAGATGTTCTCTTACTTAAGTAATTTGCCATAAATAATTGAATTAGAAGTGTTGGTACTGAACTGAATCTTGAAATTCTTGATGTTTATAATTGTCAAGCTTCTTAGTAGTTAAACACTGTTATAAAGATACTAATGGGCATATAAATGTACCACCAATGCTTAAATTTATATTTATATTTTTGATTTTGAAGCCGTACTTTATCTACAGTAATTCTGGATTTTATTTCCTAACACAGAGATGTCTAGTTAAATTTCAGCTGATAGAAGTAGAATTAAGACATGAAATTCACTAATACAGTCATAAACTGACAGACTACATATTACTGTGTAATTAAGTTTCTTTTATCTGTAAGATGGATCGTAATAGTACCTACGCTGTAGGTGATTAGCAGGGATTAAATTGGTTCATCTATGGAGAGTGTATAAGATAGAGACCAGCTTATAGTTGGTGCTCTATGTTAATTATACTAAAAAGTGAAAGTTGACTGGCTGATGTGTTAAAGTTAAGCCCTCTAGTCCCAAAACTATATAGATACAGATATAGCAAAAATAACTCATACTTCATTTTAAGTCTTTTCTTACACATGGAAATAGTGGTTCAAAATTTTGTTGTTGTTGTGAAATTATGTGCTACTCTGTCTTATATTTTAATAGAGTGCTTTGATATTCAAAACACATTTTAACCCTAATTTATGATTTTTGTCATTGCAGGCAAGAAGACAACAAGACCCTAGTCCTGGTTCCACTTTAGGTGGTGATGACCTCAAACTTCGCTAATTAGTAGCACAGCAGATGTGCCCCATCTTTACATATATGTTGTTTCTAGTTGGCAGAAATAATTGATTAAAAAGACCAGAAACTGTGATAACTGGAGGTACTTCGGTCTAATTCTCAACCGTAGGCAGTTATAAGACATCACAAACTGCCATGGTTTTGCACTAAAATTATAATAACTGCATTTCTAATTTTGTATGCATGTAGCCAGTAATAATTTGAATTTTTTTCCTATGCAAGCTTATCTTGTTGGCATTATTTTAGTGAGTTGAAACTATCCACCTGTAAAGCTCATTTACTCCATTTTAATTTAAAATTCATGTCGTTTTAAGACAAGTCAAGAAATTAACAATTTTTATCAGAGGTTTTTTTCCCCTAGTCAGTTGCTTTTTTTTTTTTGTAATTTTAGATGTATTGGTTATACAACTTCATTTTAGATAGTCATTCTTGGTTTTCTGTTTTGTTCCCCCCGTTTCCTGTCATGTTTTTATAATCTATGGCATTTTAAACTGCTGATCTGTTTGCATTATTTACAAGCTAAAAACCTAGTAGCATAGAGCTGTCTACCACAGCCTTCTAACACAAAGTTTACAGTTGGTAAAGTTGCAGTATCCTTTTTTAAATTTCAGTAATCAGCTCCTTTCCTTTTTAAACATGAAATTTAAATTGGTATTAATTCTAAGCTGTCCCAGATCTGTTTTAGATTCTGTTCTATAATCATGAGTTTTGTGGAGGTAACTCTCCATAGATAATAATATTCTACTGAAATGCCTAAAGAAGTCGCAGGCTGGCTTCTGTTTTATTCAGGGATTTTTTTTAAAGTCAGTCAGAAAAGGGATACTGGAGCTTCTTCATGTATGTAACAGCATATTAAACTGGAGACAGTGATGAGTCAGCTACAAGGTAATATTGTATTAAGACCATGTTTAACATGTTTGCTTTTTTGTGTATTTTAAAATGCATGCTTTTGTAAAAACAAAGCTGGGTGATGAAAGATAAGAGAGAAAATGTTCATCTGTGCAGAGGATACATTTTCTTCCATTAATTATCCTGGGGAAAAAATTCACATCTATATATATGGTATTTTCCCAAAGGACTATTAATAGAACCTTTTGAGATGAATTAGTGTAAGAATATTTTTTAAGACTAGCTTCACTGTCAAATTAAATGCAACTTTTTTTTTTTAATACAAGACTGGAAAAAAGTGCTAAGTCATGTGGCACCTCTTTAAAATATTTTTCATGGTCACATTCATTAAATGTTACTACATTTCTGAATTTTTGCAAAAATGTATTTTATCATAATAGAATGGCA